GTTGAGCGAGTTTTTACATCGATTACCGACCACAAGTGCGATGCGTTTCCACAGAACTTGGCCACACACGTAGGCATCTTTCAATGATATGGCCTGTACTGACTCGCCGCAGGCGTCTTCGATGCTCTCCACCTGATGCTCATCATCCAGCGTCTCCCACCTGATCCCCAGGGCCCCTTTTTGAGTAGTCTTGGGCGCCTCTGGGGCGCTTCTCGGGCCGTTTTGGGGCCTGGGGCCGTCTTGGGGGCCTACGGGGTCTTCTCGGGGCCCTCTCCGGGGCCTCGTCGAACGTCTTGGAGCGTCGGGAGCTCGAAACGTGGAGAACCGGAACAACATTGAAGCACCTTCGCTCCTTGGGTGCCTTTGACCGACCGCGCGGCGACTCGGGGCCCTTTCAGGCCGTCTCGGGGGCCTTTGGGGCCCTCTTCGCCCCCCTTGCAGCACTGTGATCGTTCTCTTATTTTGTTGTGATGACGATCGGCACGGGCCCTCGCCCCCCCCCTCCCCCACCCATGGAGTGGCTCTTGGCCGTTTTTTGGCACCTGTTTCTCGAGCAGGTGGGGTCTCCCCCACAGGACGCACGGCTCCGGACCGTCGCATTACAAGCAGATGTCCAGCCAGCCAGACCCCCCCCCCTCTGCTCTCTGCTCTCGGGGCGAACGAGTCCAAAGGATGCAGTCCTTCGGACCCCCCCCTCCACCCTCCCCCTCGGCTGGGTGCCCGAGGTGGAGGGGGGATGTCCAGACCCTCCTCCCCCTCCACCCCTTCCGCAAGATGTCGCAGCGCCGAAGAGGGAGGAGGAGGGAGGAGGAGGAGGAGGAGGAGGAGGAGGAGGAGGAGGAGGAGGAGGAGGAGGAGGAGGAGGAGGAGGAGGAGGAGGAGGAGGAGGAGGAGGATGAGGAGAGAGGAGGAGGAGGAGGAGGAGGAGGAGGAGGAGGAGGAGGAGGAGGAGAGGAGGAGGAGGAGGAGGAGGAGGATGGTGGTGACCATGGGGGGGGGGCTGGATATCATGGCGTGGGCCATGAGAGTTCTTCAGATTTCGTGGCGCCTCTTCTTCTTCCGCTACGTCCCCGGCCCACCCCTCTGGGCCACGCACACGCCGCCGGCCATGATTTGCGGACCCCCCTCTTGGGCGCCCCCCTCTTGGCCGCTTCCGATGTTGAGGACTGATGCTCCAGGGAATCCAACAGAGGGACCTGCGGACACTCCAACCTCGTGCCTGCAGGGCACAGCGGCGTCTTTTTTGGTTTTGCCGTACGAGTATGTCAGATGGTAGAAGGCACAGGACATGGACAGCGCACGCTTGCATCTGTTCCTATTCGAACGTTTACGTTAACGGCGTTGGGGCCCGAAGAAGGGCTGCAGCAGCCGAAACTTCAGAAGAATTCGGGCGTGTGCGTCGCTCGGTTGTGTACACCGATCCTGGGAAAAGGGTCGACAGAACGAATGCGGTGCGAGAGCTGTACGAGTGGGTCCGCAGCCGCATCTGGTCGTTGCTGCGGCTGCGTCGCTGCGCCCTTCTGGGCTGCCCTGAGGCCTGCTGGCCGTCCCGTCGGTTTCGGCCTCGCTGTCGGCTCGGTCGGGTTCTCGGTCGCGCCGTCGCCGTGAGCGGCGTCGAGATGGGGAGGGGAGGGGGCATTGGAGGGGCACGGGAGGGAGAGAGAAGGGGCAGGGTCGACGATGGAGGGGCGAGAAGCAGGAGAACGGCTGCGACGGAGGACGAGGACGAGGAGGCCGTGGCCGCCCCGGGTCGCTGGTCGCTTCGGGGCGGCGGCCGCCAGAGGTCGTCATGGACACGCCGTTTGACCTGCAGCTCATGCGGTTCCTGCGGCTGCTGGCGGCCCTGAAGGCGAAGGCCGCGGCTCCGTCCTGCCCCGGGCGCCGCGCGCCGCGCGCTGCCCCCGCGAGTCTGTCCCCACGGCCACTCCGAGCACGCTGGCCCAGGCTTCCCACACGGTGTCCGACTGGACAGGGTCGCGCCGCACCGCCGATGCAGCGGCGATGCCGCTCGATGCGTGCCCCGCGCTTCTCCACGCCGGCGGCGGCGATGCACCGCCGACGTCGCTGATGCATCCGGCGATGCATCGCCGAAGCATCGGCGATGCGGCGCCATCTTTGACCCCGTCTACTCCAGATTTCGTAATAAAAGGGAGGGGGTCTGGACCCTCCAAGTACTCGGACCCCTTTTCGGAGGTCTCCGGGTAAATTACCACCACCACGAAGATCGGACAAAAAATAACCGCGCGGTGCTTGTTGGCGCAGTTGGCTCTTGTGGGGAACCCGCTGTCGCAGCGCCGCCGCCAACGACGGCAGGGCCCCCTCGCGCGCTCATCAAAACAAACGAGGTGGTGGTGTATGTTACTTTGATCACAAGCGGACCCGGTCATTATACACCACCACCACCAACATTGGCGGTTTCTGTGTTGAGAGCGCCCTCTTCCCATGGCGCCGTGCTTCGCGTTGCGCTCCCGTTCGCCGCGGAGGCGTGGCGTCGTCCTGCACCTTCCTAGTTTCCATACTGATGCCTACGTTTTTTCCCCAATCCTCCTGTGTTGTGTTCTCGGTTGAAATCGCGCGCAGCGGTCTCCAAGGAGTTCTTCTTCCTCCTCCTCCTCCTCCTCCTCCTCGCCTCCTACTTCATGCATTCTGTTTTATGTTTCCACCCTCTTATGTGTTGGGTTATCGTGCTGAATGGGGCAGTTTGGCCTCCACTCTCCTCCCTCCTCCTCCTCGTGGCCTCCTGGGAAGCTGCGAAGTGCGCAAATGTCGCCGCTTTCGTTGGTTCCTGGGATCCCCAGCGGAGTAGGGGAGTATGCACATCCAGCCGAGACCTCGCAGCTAGCTGCCTGAGGGGCTGCGATCTGCGCAAGGGTCGCCACTTCCCTGGGCTCCTGGGAGACCCAGCGGAGTAGGGGAGTACGCACATCCAGCCGAGACCTCGCAGCTCCCATGGGGCTGCGAACTGCGCAAGTGTCGCCACCTTCGTGGGCTTCCTGGAGGCCCAGCGGAGTGGGGGAGTACGCACATCCAGCCGAGACCTCGCGGCTCCTTGAGGAGCTGTGAACTTTGCCAGTGTCGCCGCCTTCGTGGGCTTCCTGGGGGATCCAGCGGAGTGGGGGAGTACGCGCATCCAGCCGAGACCTCGCGGCTCCTGGGCGCTCTGTGTTTTTCAACGTGTTCGTTTGCACTGATCGGTCCTGGGCATGGCCGCCACATGTTTAGAACAAGGTTGGGCACGTCGCCGGGTGTTGTTCTTGGCGGATCCATACAAGAGCCTCGCATCCGAAGCGGAAGTCCTGATTCCCTTAGGCAGCCCCGCGCAGACCTCGCGCCTCGCGCCCGACCGCTTGCATGTCCCGCCGGCCCAACCCGCCAGTCAGGGCCCCTCACGCTCGCCGGCTTGGACGCCCGCCCGCCCGCTTCAAAACGTCTCCTCCTCCGCCCGGCCGGCCCGTGAGGGCGCCGCTGCGCCCGTCAGGGCACGCCGCTGCGCCCGCCCGACCCGCCCGATCTGCCCGCCCGACCCGCCCGTTAGGGCACGCCGCTACGCCCGCCCGACCCGCCCGTTCGGGTCTGCCCTCCCGATCCTGCCTCTCTTGCCCTCTTGGGGTTTGCCCAGTGGATGGCACAGATGCCTCCCCGATGGGGTGCGCTCCCAAATGAAGAGGGCGGGTGTCGAGAGCTTGGGTGGGGCAAGAAACGTTGAGCTGCACGCGAGCAAAGATGAGCGAGCATCCTCGTTCTGATTGTTTTTGTTGTTTGAGCTTCCCTTTCTTCAGGAACGCAGTTGTCCATCTCCCCGACGAGTGCTCGTTGTGTTTTTCAATCGACTCTCCCGCCTCGGCTCTCGCACCGTTCCCCTGTGCAGAAAAAGTTCAGGAGGGGAAAAAACACACAGACACAATTAATCTGCGTTTCCCAGAAAATATTGGAAAATATGGGAAATGGGGGGGAAGACAAAAACCCAGAAAATATGGGAAAATATGGGGAATAATGTTATTTGTGTGTCCCAGTTTCCCTTCAAAAGTACTGGTGCTTGATGCTCAAGCTATGCCTGCTGGGCCCCTGGACCACGTCAACGGCTCCCGCCTGAGACGCTCTCGCAGTGTACTCCAGAAATTCGTAATAAAGGGAAGGGGGTCGCATTTCGGGGGGGGTCTCTCTTCCAGGCTGTCTTGGAGGGCCTGGGGGGGTCTGGGGACGACGTTTTGGAGGGTTATCCCACGGGGGAGGTCTGAAGCGGCTTGTCTTGGAGGGTCCAGACCCCCCCCCCTTTTATTACGAAATCGGGAGTACTCAGAAGTCACGGTCTCGCTCGACACTTCTCCATTCGCTCCACTCATGTGCTGCCCTCTCTCCCGAGACGCCCCCAGAAAAGCCGCGCCCTCGCCGCTCGGGAACCGCGTTCCCTCGCCCGGGACTTCCCTGCACTTTGTTCAGGAGCCGGGCTCTCGCCTATCAAGGCTTACCCTTTCGCTCATGCTCCCCTCTAAGTTGAAGCACGAGGATTACGCCAGTCCGCCGACCCCTAGACGAAGTGGTGTTCAAGAGTCGGGCTCTCGCCAATCAAGGCTTACCTTTCCGCCCGTAATCCCCTCCAACTTCATTTAGGACTCGCGCTCGCCTGTGGGACTTTTTCGCGCACTCGTGTCCCGCCCGCCAGGCCCGCCTGTCAGGGTCCAGCCGCCCGACCCGACCGTAAGGGTTTGCCCGCCCGGCCTGCCCGTTTGGGGCGGCCCGCCCGAGCCGCCTGGCTACACGCAGTGACCTTTCGCCGGAGTGACTTTTGGTGCGGGCACACTTGGGTCCCCAGGTGGCTGAATGCGATGCGATACCAGTGCTGAGTCGGGCCTGTCCCTCTACAGGAGGAATACTCAAGAACAGTCAAGAAATAGTCGGAGGACGATTTTTCCGACTGTTTTTGAGCATTTTTTGACCACTGTTGATTTTTCTGCCAGTTCTTTTTCGCGCTCGGGATTGGCCTTCCCGCGGCGCCCGAAGCTCGCTGCACCGAGGGTCACTCCCGCCTGGGGTCACTTCCTGCGCGCAGCCGAGCCGCTTGCCTGTAGGCCCGCCCGCCCAGCCCTCCCCTCCACCCTCCTGATCCCGCTGCCCCCCTGCCCAGCGAGTAAGCTCCGGAAGGCCGGTCAGTTCCGGCAGTCTCCACCCGCCGACAGCGCGAGTTTCGAGGAACCTTATCTGGCAACGTTGACGTTCTCAGACGAAACAGTCCTGGAACCTGGAAACAAGATTCTCGAGAAAAAGGGTGGGGATTTTATTGCGAAGGCCTTACGGCCGGTGCCGCCGACCCTGAATGGCGACGACGACGACGACGACGACGACGACGACGACGACGACGAGCGCTCTTGGGGGCCTCTTGGGGGTAGTTTGTGGGCCTCTTGGGAAGCTCTCAGGGGCCGCTTGGAAGCCTCGTGGGGGCCTCTTGGGGCTTCCTGGGGGTCTCTTGGAGGGGGCCTGAGAAAAAGGGTGGGGATTTTATTAGCGTGTCGATATCCCCGCTCCACCCCTCTCCTCGCCCCCTCTCTGCCTCCGCCCCGCCCCCCCCCTCGATGGCGCGAGGAGGTCGGCGGCGCGCCTCCTCCGCGCCCGACGACGTCGGACCACCGACGGGCGACGACGACCGGCGACGACCGACGACGACCGCCGCGGTCGCGCCTCCTCCTCCTCCTCCTCCTCCTCCTCCTCCTCCTCCTCCTCGCGCCTCTGGAAGTCTCTCGGGCCTCCGGTGGTCTCTGGGAGCCCCTGGAGGCCCCTGGCGGTTCCAGAGGGGGTCGGAGGCCCTCCTCAGAACCGGATCCTCGAGCCTCGGCGACGGCGGCGGCGGCGGCGGCCGATCGTCGTCGTCGTCCGCCGTTCGTGCGCGTCGTTCTCCGCCGTCGCCGTCGCCGTCGCCGCCGTCGTCGCCGCCGCCGCGCGGTCGTCAGTCGTGGCCGCCGTCCGCCGTCTGTCGTCCGACAATTGACGTCGGCGGCGGCGGCGGCCGCGAGCCGCACAGGTCCCCGATCTGGCCGCGTGGGCGGAGCGGCGAGCCGACGGCGGCGCGGAGCGGCCCCCCGCGCCAGAGGCGGGCCTCCGTCGTGCCGCGTCGGCGTCGGCGTCGCCGCCGCCGCCGTCGGCGTCTCCGTCGCCGACGCCGTCGGCATCGCCGTCGGCGTCGCCGCCGCTGCTGTCGGCTTCAGCGGCGTCGGCGTCGTCCGCGCGAGATAGGGTCAAGAGGATGGCAACACGGCTTGCTCAACTCACGGATCTGTGAGTGAGCGAAGCGGCCACACGAAGCGCACATCCAGACCTGAAGTGCCTTGGACAACCTCGCGTGATGTGTTCCTTCCACACAGCCCCGAGCGACCTGAAGCCGCCCCTCTTTGGCCCAATACTGAGCTCGAGCTTGGGCTTGGAGATGGATTCGGGAGCCGCCATTCCTGCGGCTGGCGCTTGCGTGCCGCGTCGCTCTTGCACATCGAAAAGGGAGGCCCAGAGGTGTGCCCATGCATCGCGTGAAACTCATGTTCAAACTATTCGTCGGCAAGCCGCCTTCTGGATGCCCAGGTGCGAGAATCTCGGCCAGGTGTTCGTTGCATGCTCCCGGCTGTCGTCCCAATGCTTGCCCGCCAGCAGGGCAGAGTCTGGACTGACACTCTTCTGCAGTCTCTGCCGAGCCAGGATGTTGCGATGCATGCCAAGGCTGCTCCGCATCTGTTCCGGGCAGTTTCTGCTTCCGATCCCAGTGCAGTGCGACAGCGGCGCAGGCGCGCCCCCTGGCCAATACCCCACCAGGTCTGGGAGCGAGCGCAGAAGATGGTGCAGGCAGACGCGGCGAGCATGGAGGCCTCGATGGGGAAGCACGCGCACATACACACTCTACACACCACACCCAACACACACATCACACACATCACACACATCACACACACACACCCACACACACACGCACACACGCACACGCACACACACGCACACGCACACATACACGCGCACGCACACACACACGCGCACACGCACGCACGCACGCACACGCGCACGCACGCACACAAGCACGCACGCACCCACACACGCACACCCACACCCACGCCCACACCCACACCCACACACAAACGCACACAAACACACACCACACTCACACAGCACACACACACACGCACGCACGCACGCACGCACAGACAACACGCAACACACAACACACAACACAACACGCAACACACACCACACAACACAACACACATCACAACACACAACACACAACACACACAACACACACACACACGCACTCACGCACGCACGCTCAAACGCACACGCACGCACGCACGCCCGCCCCCCCGCCCGTGCGTGCGTGCACACGCACTCGCAAACGCACACGCACACGCACACGCACGCACACACACACGCACGCGCACACGCACACGCACACGCTCGCACACGCACACGCACACGCACACGCACACGCACACGCACACGCACACGCACACGCACGCGCACGCACACGCACACGACCACACGCACACGACCACACGCACACGCACACGCACAAGCACACGCACACGCGCACGCGCACAGACACACACGCACACGCACACGCACACGCACACGCGCACGCACACGCACACGCACACGCACAACACACAACACACAACACACAACATACTCACACACATCACGCAACCCACAACACACCACACACACACACCACACAATACACATAACACACAACACACAACACACAACACACAACACACAAAACGCACACACACACCTCACACCACACACACTAGACACACGCACGCTCACACGCACACGCACTCGCACACGCACACGCACGCACGCACGCACGCACGCACACGCACACACTCACACAAACACACACAAGCACACACGCACACACGCACACACGCACGCACGCACGCACGTTCGCACGCATGCACGCACGCACGACACACAGCGCACATCACACAACACATAACACACAACACACACACACACTACACACAGGCACGCACGCACGCACGCCCGCCCGCGCGCCCGCACGCCCTCGCGCCCGCCCGCCCGCCCGCACGCGCGCGCGCGCGCGCGCGCACACGTGCACGCGCACGCGCACACGCACACGCACACGCACACACGTACACGCACACGCACACGCACACGCACACGCACACGCACACGCACGCACACACACACCACACACAACGCACACAACACGCAACACACAATACACACACACACACACCACACACCACACACACACGCACACACGCACGCACGCACGCACGCACGCACGAACACACACTCACACACACGTACGCGCGCGATGGCACGCATGCACGCACGCACGCACGCACGCACGCGCGCACACACACACACACACGTGTACGCACGCACACACACACACACGCACACGCACACGCACACGCATACACGCACGCACGGACGCACGCACGCACGCACGCATGCGTGCACGCACGCACGCACGCACACACACACACACACGCACGCACGCACGCACGCACGCACTCCCGCGCACACACACATGCACACACACACCACACACACACGCACACGCACACACATGCACAAGCACACACATGCACACGCACACGCGCACTCTCACGCACGCACCCGCACGCACCCGCACACACCCGCACACACCCGCACGCACGCACGCATGCACGCACGCACGCACGCACGCACAGACGCACGCACGTACGCACGCACACACACAAACGCACACCCACGCACACACACACACACACGCACGCACGCACGCACGCACACACAACCACGCACACACAACACAACACACAACACACAGCGCACACCACAGAACACACACACGCACGCACGCACGCAATACACACAACACACAACACACAACACACACAACACACACAACCTACACCACACACCACGTACACAGCACACAACACACAACACACATTACGCAACACACAACACACAGCACACAACACACGAACCACACACAAGACACAACACACAACACACATACACACAACACACAACACAACACAACACACACAACACACAACACACACAACACACAACACACAACCCACAACTCACTCAGCATACAACACACAACCCATAGCACACAAACAACACACAACACACAGCACACGAACCACACACAACCTACAGCAAACAGCACACACCACACACACCGCACTACACACAACACACACAACACACACAACACACAACACACAATACACACACCACGCAACACACACCACACACAACACACAGCGCACACAACACACAACACACACAGCACACACACACACACACCCTTCGGTGCAGACGACGGCGATACACGACCAATGTAGGGCAGCGTGGCATGCTCGATCAGGGTTCAGTGGAGGACTCGGGCGAGCACTTCAGGTAGAAGAGACCACGGGGGACCAACATTTGCATTCATCGTCGTGCTAACAACGGTTTGGTGGCTTGTTGCTTTGCCGCCTGATCTTGGGGAGGGCTTTCTTTCCATTGCGGTAGTTCTTCCAGCTTGTTCTCCAGGTCGATTTCCTGTTTGCTGGTCGATTTGCTCTTCACGTGCGCCTTTCGCTTGACATGGGGTCTGAGGCCATGCTCGCTCGCTTGTCTTGTGGACTTTGGGTGGCTTCCTTGGCAACTGCCCATTCGATGTTGTGTGAATTCCTCGATCAGTTTGCCCCAAGCGTATGTGACTTGCTGGCCCCGGTTTTGTGTTCACGGCATCTTGTTTCTCCGTGTCACGTTATTCAACGTCGTGGAGCAGGATTTGGGGCAATTCCGTCCTGCGTTGATTCATCCTCTTCGTTTGGGTGTCTCGCTCAGCTACGAAGGCGGCGTGTCGGTGGGTTCCCTCGTGCTCCGCAGCGCGATCCTTGTGGGGAGGAGGCCTCCTTCTTTGCCCTCCTCGTCTGCCGTTTCTCGTCCTCGTCATCCTCGTCCTCATCTTTTGCCTCCCTCCCTCGCCCTCCTTTTCCTCGTCGTCGTCCTCCTCCTCCCAGCGCCTCCTCCCCCTTCTTCCCCTCCCTCATCATCTTCCCCTCTGTCATTTTGATGGCGCTTCCAGGCTTGCAGTCTGTGTGACATTCTCGTCTTTCTCGTGCTCCTCCTCTCCGTACATCCCGATGATTGGGCCCAGATCCTCTGAGCGTCTTCCTCCCTCACCTCTTGCCTCCTAGGGCTAATGATACGATACGGCTCTCCCGTTCCATCTGGTCGCTTTCGGTTGTTTGCGTTCTGCCGTTCAAGCCCTGCATGCCCGCCCAGTGCCCTGTCCTTCTCTCACCTAGCTCACCGTCAAGGCGAGACTCAATATTAATGTGCACAGGTCCTCTCACCTGCAGGGCATGCTCATGTAGGCGCTGCACCAGGACGCCGCTCTCAGCGGGTGGGGCACCTGGTGGCAGGACATTTCGAACGGTCCTCACGCATTGTCCCTTGCCTGCGTATGCGCTGGAACCGAAGCGCACGCGTGGTTCGAGTTGAGATCTCGAAGACGTCCACGACAGACCGCCGCCGTGGCCAAACATTGAGCAACTTTTTGGCCCCCTGTCTCCCCTCCTCCTCCCCCGTCTCCTCATCCCAGACATGCGACGTCTTGGTTTTTCCCAACTATCCTGTGGTGTTGGGTCCTCGTTTTGAAGAGACGGCGCCCCGCGTTCTCCTCCTCCCGCCTCCTTCCTCCCCCTCCTCCCTCCTCCCGCTCCATCCTCCATCCTCCATCCTTATCCTCATCATCACCATCACCATCACCATCACCACCATCATCACCATTACCATCCCGCACGTCCGTGCAATCCATTTCGGCACACACCTCACACGTTTCGTGGCCCCATGGGAAGCTCTACCGAAGGCCCCAGTGGCGGGGTTCGCATAGCACCGCCGCCTCCATTTCGGCACACTCCTCACAAGGTTCGTGGCCCCATAGAGAGCTCAACCGAAGGTCCCAGTGGCAGGGTTTACATGCGTCCCCGCGATTCATTTCGGCGCACCCCTCACACGGTTCGTGGCCCCATAGGGAGCTGAACTCCACCGATGGCCCCAGTGGGAGGGTTTACACGCGTCCGCGCGACTCATTTCGGCGCACCCCTCACACGGTTCGTGGCTCAATAAGGATGCGTCCCCGCGACTCATTTCGGCACACCCCTCACACGGTTCGTGGCCCCATAGGGAGGCTCACGCAAGGCCCCAATGGCAGAGTTTATATGCGTCCCCGCGATTCATTTCGGCGCACCCTTCAGAAGGTTCGTGGCCCAATAAGGAGCTCCACCCAAGGCCCCAATGGCAGGGTTTACATGCGTCCCCGCGATTCATGTCGGCACACCCCCTTCACAGTTCGTGGCCTCATAGGGAGCTCCGCCGGATGCCCCAGTGGTAGGGTTTACATGCGTCCCCGCGACTCATTTCGGCACATCCTTCACACATTTTGTGGTCCCATAGGAAACTCCACCGAAGGTCCCAGAGGCAGGTTTTACATGCGTCCCTGCGATTCGTGTCGGCGCACCACTCACACGGTTCGTGGCCCCATAAAGAGCTCCATGCAAGGCCCTAGTGGCAGGGTTTACATGCGTTCCTGCGATTCTTTTCGGCGCACCCCCTACACGGTTCGTGGCCCCATAGGGAGCTCCGCCGAAGGCCCCAGTGGTAGGGTTTACATGCGTCCCCGCGACTCATTTCGGCACACCCCTCACACGGTTCGTGGCCCCGTAGGAAGCTCCACCGAAGGCCCCAGTTGCAGGGTTTACGTGCGTCCCCGCGATGCATCTCGGCACAGCCCTCACACGGTTCGTGGCCCCATAAGGGAGCTCCACCGAAGGTCCCAGTGGCGCAGTTCGCATGGTTTTTTCCCGCCCAATACAGCGTTTCGTGCCCCCACAGGGAACTCCACCGAAGGTCCCAGTGGCGCAGTCCGCATGCGGTTCCCCCGCCCAGTACAGCGTTCCGCGGCCCCAGACAGGGAGCTCCACGGAAAACGAGGCCCACACTTGCCGTGTTCACTACTGCATATGCTTGGGTCCTTCGCCAGGCTAATTTCAGTACGGTAGGTTCGTGTCGTGTCGACCGGCGGCGACCCCAGCGTGGGGGTTCAAGGTTGAACGCCGCCGGCGACCCAGAATCGGTCGCTGTTGAAGGATCGGACGTCTCGGAAAGGGCCGATCGTTCAAGGTTGAACGATCCCCGAGATAACAGAAACCATCGCTGGGGTCGACACGACGCGAACCTGCCGTACAGGGTTCCGGCATGGAAGTCCCGACCCCTTCCCCGGGGCCGGTCTCTCGGCGCGAGCCGTTTTCCGATGGTCCGGGGTCTGGCGGGGGCCCCTGGAGGCCGCCAGTGGCCCACCACCTCACGGCGTCCAGCACGCCTGGGAGCCTCCCCCCCCGCGCCCTCGCCGTACAGTCGCTCCGCGACCGCCGCAGGCGTCCTCCTCGCTGCCCCGGCTCCTGGTCGCCTTCAACCACGCGGGCCCGAACGTGGAGGAGGCGCGCTCCTCCCCCGTCGTGCCTGCGGGCGGGGCGTGGGCGTCGCGGTCACGCGGTCGGGCCTCCACCCTTCGGGCTTCCAGTCCTCTGGGCAGGGAGGGGGGGGCGGGGAGGGGGAGGGGGGTTCGGGGCAACCGTGGGGGGGGATAGGCGCAGGGGGGGGCGCGTCGACGCCCAATCGCCCATCGCTCGTCGATAGGGGTCTGATAGCGCCGCCCCTCGCAGGGGCGTGCGGATTCGCTATCGGGAGCCTATATCCGATCAATCGGCGATGTATCGCCGATTCCAGGTCGATGTATCCCCCCTGTGCCACTGCCCCCCATCGCTGCCCCACCGAGGCGGGGATCAAGGGTTTGGGCTCTCTGGTTTTTTGTTGACCTCCGGAGGCCTCCAGAGCAGGACGGGGAGGAAGCTGGGGTCGGCGTCTGCCGTCCTTTTGTGGTGCGTCCGTCGCGCTCATGCCCTCCTGCTTCTCCTCGTCTGGGGTGCCCCCCATTGCGGGGGCGTGCTGTCTTTGGGTGGGGGGAGCGCAAGTTTCGGGTTTGCCAGAGCTTGGGAATTGCCGCCTCCTTGTCAACGGTTTAAACCAGAGTTTTGACGGTCCATGTATGTTTGCAGCGGGAATGGACGGCGCCATCAGGCAAATTCCAGTCGCCCCAAACTCGACTCGTACGTCTCCCAGGTCGGAGGGATACAACAACACGTATCACGCTTCGCGTACCCCCACCAGCCCGTTCAGAAGCGTTGTCCAGGAGAGCTGGCGGGAAACTGAACGAAGATGCACATACAGTGAAACAAACCAGGCAACCAGGGTGAACAGAGAGATCATTGGGAGCAAGGGGGTGGCCCTGGAGGACCTCTTCGAGTCATCCCTGGGGCCCGCGTGTGGGCGAGGGAAGGTGGATGATGAGGAGGAGGAGGATGGGGAGGAGGAGGAGGGGAGGAGGAGGATGAGGAGGAGGAGGAGGAGGAGGAGGAGAAGGACAACGACGACGACGACGGCGACGACGACCACAACGACGACCACGACGACGAGGAAGAGGAGGATATGGAAACGGAAGACGATTAGGGCAAGGACGAGGACGAGGACGGGCAGGAGGTGGAGGAGGAGGAGGAGGAGGAGGAGGAGGAGAACGACGACGACCACGACGACGATGAAGAGGAGGAAAGGGAAAAGGAAGACGATGAGGGCAAGGACGAGGACGACGAGGAGGAGGAGGAGGAGGAGGAGGAGGAGGAGGAGGAGGAGGAGGAGGACACCGAGGACAAGGACAGAGCCCCCCAGAACGCCTCTTCCAGCCCCCTGGGACTTGTTTCGAGGATCCTTAAGTTCTCTTGGGGCTCTTCTCGGTGGTCTTGGGGCCCTCTCTCTCGGAGCCCTCTAGGGTGTCCCCGGGGAGCCCTGGAGGGCCTGTTGGGGCCATCTTGGAGGCCATCGATCAAAAGGGTGGGGTCCTAAATTTGCCTCCCCGCCTCTTGCGGCCATCTTGGGACGCTCTTAGGCCGATCGTGGGCGCTCTTGGGGCCGTATTGGGGTGCTCTCGGGGGCTCCGGGAGCGCGTGAAACCGTCTTGCGGCCTTCGTTGGGCCTCTTGGAGGTATGCTGGAAGCTATTTTGAGCCATCTTCGGTTATTCTGAGCCACCTTGGAGGCCATCTTGGAGCATCGGAGCAGGGCTCGTTTCGATTCCTCCGATTCGATCCGATTCGATTTCGACTGCTTCCGATTCCGATTCGATTCGATTTCGGATTTCGATTTGGGTTCCGATTTCTCAACAGAGGCCTACCGGCCAGCCGATTTCCGCCGATCCGACTTTTCCCGACTCGGCTGCCGATCTCCGCCGATCCGATTCGTTCCGATTGCCGATTCGACTTATCGATTCGATTCTGGGCTCTCCTGTCGGAGGCCCTCTTGGAGACATCGTGGGCGAAAACGGATCCCACAACACACCACGACGCCCCAAGCAGCCTCAGGGAGGGGAGGGGGAGGGTACCCCTCCCCCGAAGGGAAGCGCGTTTTGGACAAGGAAAGAAAGAACTCGTTAGACCTCCGTAGCCCAACGGGCTGGTGGGATTCTTGACGCTTCGCTCAACCTGCCAGCCCATCAAGGAAGATACCAAGGCGAGTTGCCCTGATCAGGGATGTGGAGGAGCATACATTTGAATAATGCTTTGAAGAAGCCGTCGTACCCCACGAGGGGGAGGATGGATGAGCAATCGGGGGATGATGATGATGCTGCTGATGCTGCTGATGATGATGATGATGATGCTGATGCTGCTGCTGATGATGATGGTGGTGATGATGATGCTGATTCTGATGATCCTGATGATGATGCTGATGATGATGGTGATGATGATGATGCTGAGGCTGATGATGATGATGGTAAGGATGATACTGATGATGCTGCTGCTGATGATGATGCTGAGGCTGATGATGATGGTGATGCTGCTGCTGATGATGATGACGATGATGATGTCGATGATGATGATGATGATGATGG